GGCACACGTTTCTCGCAACGCTTCACAGTTTGCATAAAACGCTACACGGTTTTTCACAAAACGAAAAAAGCACGTTTTAATGGACAGCAGCACGTTTCAGGATCTGTATCTGTACCTCTCTGTGACTCGTCTGATCTCGTCAGATTTATATCGTCAGAAGGTATCAGATCTCTGGAGTTTACTATCAACATAATTTAATTAATATAAAAATATTATTTCTTTTTCACGCAACGAAAGAAAAAAAAAAAAAAAAAAAAAAAAAACAGAATGGTGTAAACGAACTGCAAACAGTTTCTTGAAACAAATATCTTATTCTTAAATGAAATATATTGAGATAACGAACAGTTTTTAATTTAAGCTCAAAAGTCCATTATACATTACAAAATAGGTGCAGATCAAACACGGACCTCCAAAACATCAGAGGTGGAATCAGGTGCCATGGAGGAGTGAGCATCCCCTGCCGACCGGTCACACCCGCCGTGTGCTTCTTGTCATGATCGGGAAATAACGGAAAAATCCGTCGACAATTCAGTGTGTAAATAATGACCTAACAATTAATATGAAAAACGTTAGTCAGCATTTGACTCAATGATAAATTGTATTTGCCGACAAAGTCATTGTATCGACCGTACAACTTACGAAATGATGACTTTAAACGAAACTGCTGATATTCTTGTTTCATCAACTTGTTTGTGAATAATTTACCTCGTTTTAGAAATTGTACATACGTGGAATATGCTCTTGCGTACCGAATCAACTAAGATATATAAACCCCGTATGCAGGTGATGAAGGTATATTGCTGCATAAGGGAAGTTGACGATTAAAAAGTTAGTCATCACGTTCACATAAAGCTTGGTTGTTAGATTACCATTAACGTCTTTTTCAAGTAAAATATCCAAATATGAAACAGATGTGTCAGACTCTGTAGTATCTTTTATCTCAAGCTCACCGGGATATATCGAATCGACATAAGAGTGGAAATAACGATTGTTAATTGACAATGCGTCGTCGATATATCTAAATGTCGAGTTGAAGGCCACAGCAAATGTTTTCTCCCTTTCACGTATAAGATTTTGGACAAATTCTGCTTCATATCAATACAAAAAAGGTCTGCTAATAACGGAGCGAAATTGGTACCCATGGGGATTCCAATAGATTGTTGGAAGTCCTGCTCTCAAAAAACCACATAGATATTGTCAATCAGAAACTCAAGCATCTTTTTAATATCAACTTCAGAGTACTAGTGTGTACAATCAAAATGTTTTTTAACAAAATAATTTTGCAAATGATCAATGACAAGGTAAGTAAATTTACGAGTTCCATTTTTATTGAAAAAGCAGCTGTCAATGATATCAAAAAGCCTGGACTTTAATTTATCGTGGGGAATGGTTGTGTGTAAAGTTGAAAAGTCGTAAGTTTTTAAGCTGTTGATTTTGGTAAAATCTTGTGATTTCAAATTTTCCAGAAGTTCCTTGGAATTTTTAAGTATCCACATCTGATTTACACCACTTCTCGAATATATTGTTGCACAGTACTCTTGAAGTTTCTCCTTCATTACTGTTAATATCTTAGTGAGGAGTAAAGAAAGAGGCTTGGTTGAACATTTACTGGAACCCGCTATATATCTTTGTTTGTAAGGATTTTTATGAAGTTTCGGAATCCAATATAGATATGGTAATTCAAATTCATTTTGGTTGTTTGGAATATTAAAAATATTCAAAATTGACATATGATTTTGAAGAATTTCTTCCTTAGAAAGAGAACTATGAGTATAAGTTGGATTACCACTTGTAGAATTAAATTCAAGTTCTTCTAAAATACATTTAATATAATAAGCCTTACAAACAAGCTTAAAGTGTCGTGGAGAGCAAATGACAATAAAATAAAAAAAAATCCGGCGTGGAAATTAACCAAACTTTCTCAAACAAGCAAATACAAGAAGAAAATTAATTATATAAAACGAAATAAAGCAGAATAGAAACGAAAAAGAGTTTGGTAAACAACAGAAAAAGAAAAAAAGCCTGCCAAATATTTCATTTATTTCCACAAAAAATGTGGAGTCATATTTTACCTTTCAAAACAGGTACACAGTTTCCCTGTATGCAAACAGAATCCTCGGTACAGGTATGGTTTAAACAATCACCCGCCAAGTGCTGCAGATAATACAACTCAAAGTTATGAATCGTTTAATATTAAAATGAATTCATTATGTAAACCTAAACCTTTCAATATTTCGATATTTACGTGCAACACGACACCTATACTCACTTCTGGAAATTTTTCCCGTTTGACATGAATGATGCGGCCTTCGGTCATTAAACCAATGCCATTTTTGATGGTGAATCTTGTGTTTAGCCGGCATGTCTTTTTTTCGGGTGTCCAATCCAGAGAAAGACACAAATTAAACCTGTTACAAACTACCATGCACATAACCAAGTCAGAATTGTTCAAAAGGTTAAAACTAGGCGCTGAATAATTTGCATAATTGTTTATGATAAAAGTTTTCGGGTCGAAGCACTGAGAGAAGCATGTCTGTAACAGAGTTAGGACTTGTCCAATGATAAACAGACTCATAGGTCGTTCGTCTAATTTCATTTCAAACATTCTAACGAACATCTTTTCTGCTGTCGATGTTTATCCGGATATCCGACTATTTTTCTACTCCTCTGTTATTTATATACTAGGGTTCAGGTCTGAAGGTTTCACTGGGTGGGTTGTTTAAAGATTTAAAACATACATCAATATTTATTTTTACTCATATGAAATTGATAAACTTGAAAAGATAGTTTCATTTTAAAAGTCATTACAAATAATCTAAAGCTTTTTGGTCTAAACTTGGAGCCCAGAAACAAAACCATAATATCTTTTTCATGCTTCTCTGTAGCATGTTGTTTTGATAAAATGTTTTCTAGTTTTAGTGTATATATACTCTCCAGAGACTGTATAAATGTTATCAATGAGGAACTCCAGCATCCTATTAAAAGCAACTTCTGAGTACTTGTATGTAGAAACCGAGTGATTTTTAGCAAAGTAATTTTGTTTATGACCAATCACAAGAAATGAATAGTTTCCAAGTTCCAATTCTATTGAAGATGAAGTTGTTTATGATTAAAGAAGCCAGGTAAAAAAAACAATTACAAGCAGATAGAATGAAATCTTTGATTTCAACAATCTAATTAAAATTAGATGTTCCGAATCCGCTACCGCTTCTCAAACATCTAATAACATCCCATTCGGGGTCACGTCAGAGCGATCTTTCGATTACCCAATGAAATCGCCGTCTCCGAAGAATCCAAATATGGACCTGCTTTAGCTTCTTCAGATAGTCCATTCAGAAATTTGAAGGGAACGAGGTAAAGTTTAGTGCGAATGTGATTAAGTTTCAATTGTAGATTGACGTGATGTAAACGTAAATCAAGTGACATCATTTATATCTGGTGTATTGGTTTTGTCCAGTAAGGTTGCTATAAGTATTAAACGCAGCATTTGATATCAAATTATCACAGGTTTTGCACTTTTTAGAAGAACATATTGAAATGAAACGTATGGGGCGAGAAAGGGAATTTTCAAAAATATCACCGATTGAAACTTCACAATCTTTTATTTTAGTAAAAGTTTGGTTTGTTTTGTACCAAAACTCGTCACCTGCTGACTGTATGGATACATTGTTAATATCCCATAGGAAAATACGAGGGGCGCCAACCATTCTGACAGAGCCTGTGCCACTTGTGGACTCTAGAGATTGACACCTTCTTATACTTGGCGCCGTGTCAACCAGTATGGAATCGATTTTTTATTGTACATTTTACAGGCTTTTCAACTGCCGCTAGGGTTTGATGAAAAGAACGATAACTCATCACCAGAACTTGTTTAAAGCAGGTCCGAGGTAGATAATTCTTGAGTATGTCAATTTCTAACGTTTTCCGAGTACTCCTTCACCGTCAGTGGAATCTTGTGGTTTTAAAATTCAGCACAAATTGGAAACGTATTTATCACGTAGTTACCGAAACTGTATAATAATTTATAAGTGAAATTTTTAATAAAAATATAAATTGAATTCTACCCATTTCTTAATTTTAACCTGATTAAACTGTTATATTTTGTCTTTCTTCTTCACCCTTAGTTTAAAAAAAAATAAGATAATTAATTTTTGAATTTAATTGTTGAAATATATATCTATATAGAAGAAGAACAACAATGCACAAACACACATAGAACATGTTATTTAATTTTTCTTCTCCATAACAACTATCAGAGAGACTTGAATATAGTCCGTTTCCAATTCATTTTGATCCCATTATTCCAGGTAGAGTGAAAACTTTTTCCTTGTTTCGACCAACCCTCTTGTGCACACAACAATACAACAAACCCTATTTTTATACATAACAATACAAGCTGAAGCAGCCTTTATGCCATACCTATAAACGATAACTCAAAAATCGGCAAATTGTTGATAGTTTTCAACACAGATAAGAATGTTCCTTGAGTACTTATTATTAGAGTTATTAAAATAAACTAAAAATCCTTCTCCAAAATTTCTATTATTATGCTAAGAGATTATAGAACCTACATTTAAAAAGAACGACAAATAGCTGTAAAGCTGTAAGGCCAAAAAATTAATCTATAGTTTCTCAGGCACCGCAACATCTGGTCAAACACTGCTGCATTGATCAATTTTATTGACATATTGAAAAGTGAAATAACTGAATTTTTTTTTCTTTTTTATCAAGTTGGAAAAAGAAAATTTAGCTACGCCCCTTTTTCACACATGCTTATAGAACGTATTTACAACACATTTATTTCTTGTTAAAATGATACTTCATGAATTTATAAAAATATTTATAAAAATGTTTGGAATAACAGTATTTAAAGTTGAACACATATTATAATTTATATACTACAAAAAAGTAAGAATCAGTTGACTTCATCATTTTGTTGACTGAGATGAAAAAGAAAATGACACCTGCTTCAAAAAAAAAATTAATTTTTTTGGCCTTATGGTCTCAATAGTTGTAGATGATGGCACCAGTCATGGGATACGGTTTACAACCAATGATGCAGGTATAAACTTATTCAGATAAAGACCTGTTTGTGCATTCCATTTTTCAGTGACTGCTGTTATTTTATCTTTTTATATTGATTTTTCACCAATCTATCATTCATGTTGAATTGTGAACAAATCACTTCACCTGTTGTTTTCCTCTTGCTTACTTCCAGCAACCAAGAATGATGGGCATTAGACCAATGGATATGCAACCGGGAATAGGAATGCAACCTAGCATGGGGATGCAACAACAATGGAAATGCAGCAGCCTATGATGTACGGAATGTAACCTGGGATGGGACCCATGATGTCACAGACCCGCCCACCTGCACAAACCAATCAGGATCCGTTTGGAGCATTATGAGAATCGTCATCTTGTATCCATCATTCAGGTATTAAGAAAGAGAATTGAGGCTGGTCAGTTTCTATTGTCCCTGCAAATTGACTATTAAAACAAATGGGGTGGGGTGGGGGCTATGGTGATTCAATAATAGGTATCATTTTTCCACAGGTAAATAAGTTATGCTAAGATTTTTTCCATAACACAGGATTTTCTACTTTCAAAAGCAGCTGAATGAAATGTTACCAATTTTGGAGCTGAACTTGATTTTAAAATTTGTATGTACTATTTCTACTAAAAATCTGAAAATCATCAGTTATATCCATGTAGGAATCGCTAAATGTGATTTCGAATTTATACATTGTTATTTGATGGTTTGTTAAGTCTTGTGAACTTTCACTTATCATCATTTATCTCTTTCTGATTACATCTAAGCTTTCACATTTTACCAATGAATTTTTCAATGGGGTTATAATTTAGGAAGATTAAATTAGTATTAACCTGTGAAAAAATTCCAAAGTGGTATTTTTTTCAGGAACAGACATAGTTGTGTGAGTGTTTGTGAACCAGATAAGGGCAGGGAACAAATGTGTACATAATTGCCATGGCAACCGTGAACTTCTACATTCCTACACAAATCCATATATGATCTATGCACATGAAGAAAATGACTCTCAAATATGACTTTATTCAAAATCAGTATATGAAAAGTCATGGACATATGTAGCATTACCTCTGACCCACCAGTAATACAATATCTAAATATTACATAGAAACTCATAGAACCAGAGGCCAGCTAGTCATTCAGTTGTGCAATTGTGAGGAGGCCATAGTAACTGTTTTGTAAATCTCATCCCCCATGTTTGAGAGTGGTAGTGAGAGCAGATGGGACACCCAAATCACGTCACCGTGTGTAAGTCATGTCAGAAAGTAAAAATCAAGTGTATATAATTTATGTGTAGTCCAGAAGTCAATATCACACACAATGGAAGTGTTAGTCAAGATTGAGAGAAAGGGATTGTACTTGTATTCTGTTGGCATGGTAACTGTTACCATGGCTATTTTTATGTCATGACCTTATACCTTTCTACTTCATGTTTAGGCTGCTTTTTTTTAATTGACTAAAGATCTAGATGAAGCGAGCATGTTAGGTTTAAAGTTTACAACAATGTATTAAAAGCAAATAGTATGCTGTAACAAGTGATAGATGGCTATTCATTTCTGTTATAAACTCTTGTAATGTATGAGTGCTTAACAAATTCATTGTTAAATTTTTTTGTTGCAATGTATATCCTGTGCTATTTTGGTATCAATGGAACTATTAATGTTACGTTTTAGTATACTGTTGTCCAGAATACATTTAAATAATATTAATATATACACATATTATTCAATGTTGTAAAATTATTTAGTGGAATGTACTTTATGTAAATATCAATATTAGGCGATATGTTGGTGAATTTTAAATTGATGTCAAAATGTGTTGGTCACTCCCATAGAGGTCAGGTCAGTTTTAGATGACCTGGACCGTTTTCTAATCCTACCTCAAATGTAGCTTGGACTCCTACAAGTCCTAAGGTAGCTCCTTAGTGGTCTTAGTTCCTTCATTATGCAGAACTTGAATTATCTGTGATTGTTAATTAATCTCACCACAGACACCTGTATCAAAGAATGCCAACCAAAACACATTCCAAACTTTCACATATCTTACCCTCACTTAGTTAATTCAAATGTTCTAGATCACAGAACCCCTTATCCACCGTGGATTTGGTTGAAAATTGATATTATACTTTTTATGTTTAATTTGGATTTCCATGTTAAAATTCAAGATAAATTTAAAAACAGAAGGTAATGAGGACTTACTATCAGTTAAAATATTGCAAAAATATACCTTTTTTGTATGTCTTATTAGAATATAAAACTATCCATTTTAAAGCAAATAGGATGTCGTGATTTATTCCATTTTTTTGGTGATGTATTTTGTCCATGATTTCTTGAGCAAGCAAACAAATTTTAACATAAGTAGTTACAGTCAAATGATGGGAAAACAAAATTATCACATTTAAACTCCGCCTTAACTTCTGTCTGTAGATTTCATGCAAACTTCCTGACTTTATTCCCGACAAACAAAAACTGCCATAATAAATGTGACATTTTAGGATCAGATCTGTTTCAGAACTTTTGTACAGAACTATAGCAAGTTTCGTTCAGATCTGTATGAGAACTTTTGTAGAGAGCTGTAAGTTTCTGTTGATCAGATGTAGTTGCTCTAGACACAATAAACTCATTCTGCATCTGGGATTTTCGTTGATTCTCTTTTTTTTTGGGGGGGGGGGGTTAAATATGTTCATTGAAAGGATTTGAAAAATATTGCTTTTTGTGGTGTTGGAGTTTGCTATCGGTTTATGGAGGAAATTAACTCCTGAATCATCATTTCTGCCCATTGCCCAGAGAAGTCTTTATTCCAGTAGAGGAAAAAAAATCACAATTTTGATAAAATAAGCTGTGGGAACAAATACCCAAGTGCAACTTTTACGTTTGCAACAGTTTTAATCCATTATTTTTATATTTATTTCGACTTCTGATTTCCCCGATTTCCTTACCAATTGTGACCAGTCGATCAATACAGAGGGCTCCGGATGGGAAACTGGGAATGCTTATTCCTATTAGACACCTGATCCCTTCTCTGGTGTTTCTACGTGTCTGTTGTTTGCCTTGTTCACGTTTCAGATTGTTTGAAGATTTATGAGATTGATCATTGTTTGTTATCTTCACAATTGATTACAACATGTCAAAATGCCCACTAGTACTCTGATACAACTAAATCTAGGTGTCCACTAGTCCCAAAGTACAGTAGTACATTTAAAAGGTAAAAGAAAGGGATCGCATTTCTTTTAAATGTGAAAAATAACGGCGAAATAAAACCAAATAGAAAAAAAAATCATCGAAATCTACAGTTAACGGAGTTATCGTACTTTAAAAGTGCCTAAATCTGAAGATACAACTAGATTTAGGCGTCATTAAGTCCTAAGGTATAAGTAGATTTTGATGTCTACTAGTCCTAGGGAATAACTAGATTTAGCTGCCCACTAGTCCTAGGGTATAATTAGATTTAGCTGTCCACTAGTCCTAAGGAATAACTAGATTTAGCTGTCCACTAGACTTAAGGTATAACTAGATTTATCTGTCCACTAGTTCTAAGGTATAACTAGATTTATCTGTCCACTAGTCTTAGGGTATAACTAGATTTAGCTGTCCACTAGTCCTAGGGAATAACTAGATACATATGTCCACTGGTCCTAAGTTATTCCACTGGTCCTAAGTTATAACTAGATTTAGTTGTCCATTACATCTTATTATAACGTATAACTACAGAGTGGTGTCCATAAGTCCCAAGGTTTAACTAGATTAAGGTCTTCACTAATTCTGCGATGTACCATAATCAAGGTGTCCACTAATCCGCTGATATAACTTGATTTAAGTGCCCCCTAATCATATGCTTTATAGAGATCTATAGATGTCGACTCTATAGATGATATAAAAATAATCCTTTCCTCACGTGTAAGTGACAAGGTAAAACCAACGAAAAGACAACGTACAAGATATTTATGATTTTATTATACAAAAAAGCACAACAATTAAAAATTTACACCATAGTTTGCGATTAAGCTATTTTTCATATCTTCTAATATGCAACATGAGCTACATTTAGTACATAAACACCAAAATGTTTTATTTTCAATGTTTCACTTTGTCGAAGCAAAAAACAGAGAGACTTAAGAGTAAGAATTTGGTTGAATAAGAAAGGAAAATTAAATCATGGGTGGACAAGGGAAAAAATTCCTATGATATTGTAGACTGAAATTCACAATTCAAAACAGCTATCTGTAACAATTTTGAAAATATATTTGAATTTCTCTGTGCGTCTGTTTATTGTTCCGTCAAAATGACCAAGTTGTTTCAAATAATCGTTTCTAAAATGTCAACTTGTTTTCAAAGCAATGACCAGATATAAAATCCTCTGGTCAGTTTTTCTGACTGCGTATTACTAGATTTTGCGTATGTTCTTCAATGTGATGTTTCCTTCATTTAAGATTTATTACAAATCAACTTAAGAAACACAGTTAATTTCTTACTTTTTTTACTGATCCCACCTCTGTTGTTTCCAGGGTCTGTGATTTTGTCTTGCTTACGATTTGTTTTGTTTTGTTTACCGTATTTATGAGGTTCACCACTGTTCGTTATCTTCATCTTTAACAATTACTTATAAAAATCCAATGTTAATAAAAATATTTAGATTTTTAAAACAAAAATGAACACAGTCCTTTTACACATTACAAAGTCTATATTGCACTACATTATTAATTATGTTTTATAACTGACATATTACAGTCTGTTATACATTATTTTATCAGAGAAAAATTTCACAGTATAATTTACATTGTTTAAAGCAATGATACAAAATCTATTTTGTACTACATAAATGTGGTATTGATACAGTGACTGATTACAAAGTCTTATTTGTACTACATTAAATGAATCACGCTCTATTCTGTAGAAATTATCCCACGTTTCTAACTCTCGTAAATGTCCCTGGCATTAAATAGAATTTTAAAACATAGAATTGAAATACATCCTATGTTGATCTCCATACACCCTTCCACTAACGTCAGACACAATGACAGCCCGGGAAATTGACATGCATATTCGGCACTTGACTTTTCACTTGTTGAAATTTACATTCAGTTGTAAATATACATTACATTCATTTCTAATTCATCCGGATTACATTGTTTTATCAGTGACAATCAAACAGTTTAATCTGCACTGCATTGTTTTATCAGTGACTTATTTCAAATTCTAATATGTACTGTATTGTTTTATCAGTGACACATTACCCTAGCAATATTTTAACAAGAGGCCCATGACTCACATAGGTCAACTGATCATTTGGCCACTCCTAATAAAGCAGAATTCGGTTCAGTATTAAAAAAAATCAAATATTTAAGTTATCCCATCCTACTCTCTGGGGTGATGATTTGAATAAACTTGAATCTACACTACCCCAGGATGTTCCATATTATAATCTCGAGAAGATTTTAAAAAGTTTTTTTTATTTCAATTATTATTCCTTTGTTAAAGGTTTGATGCTGTGCTGTGGCCCGCCCTACCCAGGAGGTCATGATTTGAAGAAACTTGATCTATACTACCTGAGAATGCTTCTATATTAAAATGACTCATCAAAGCTTTGCTGTTCTAAAGAAAAAGACTTTTTTAATCCGATATATTCGTATGAAATACGTTGATCCCCTACTGTGGCTTCACCCTACACCTTGGGGTCAAGACTTGAACAAACTTGCATTTACACTACCTGAGGATTCTTCTGTTTTAAAATGACTCATCATGACTTTGCTGTTTTTGAGAAGATTTTTTTTTTGCTCTTTACTGTGGTGTGGTCCCCCTTTACTGTGGTGTGGTCCCCCCTTCCCCCACCCGGGGGGGGGATCATGACTTGAACAAACTTAAATCTACATTATCTGAAAATCATGGTTTTTCTGTTCTTCTTCAGAATATTTTTTAAGATATTTCCGGCAGTATATTACAATGTAAACCTTTGATGCCTTGTTGTGACTCCACCCTACCCCGGAGTCATAATTTAAACAAACCAAAAGCTTCACTACGTAATGAAATTCAACATCTCTGGCCGAGAGGTTCTTGAGAAGAAGATTTTTACAGGATACCTCTTAATTTACACATATTCTTAATTATCTCCCCTTGGAAGAGGGTGTGCCCTTCATGTGAACAATTTTAACCTTGAATCCCCTTTACCCAAGGGTGCTTTCTGGCAAAATAAAGTTGAAATT